TACAAATATAAATATACTAAAAATGTTAAAGAATAATATATATATATACCTCGATATTCAGGATGCAGCATATATGCTAAAATATATGGTTCTGCTTCAAGTTCATTCCAACGATTGTTAACAATTTCTATGCATTGATTTTGAAATGCAATCGTATCTCTTTCTTTTGACATATGAGAAATAGTCGCAATTAAACGAACTAATTGAATAAAACAATCTGCCATTGTACAATCCGCTCTTTCTAATCGCAAAATTGTAGCTCTAATTGGAGCAAAAATTTTGGATATTTGTTCCACGTCATGAAAGAATCCTCGAGACTTTAAAATTATTCGTACATCTTGGTTGGTAATAGCATCAGGATGATCGTTTAAAACCTTAAAATTATTCAAAATATTAGTGTTAGCACTATAGTATATTATATAAGAATGTGTGCCGCAAAACAAAAAAAATTTACACTTTGCAACATTCGTAAAATCAATTATGCTAATTAATAAATTAAAAATCACCTTTTCTAATACAAGTTTAAGTCTAAACACAGAATTAACCGTTTCATACGCAGATGTCCATCTAGTTTCTATAAAAAGCTTCAATCCACCTCCGCTAATATTCAATTCATCTATATATCGTTTTAGATAACTTCCAGCTAAATGACTAGTTTTAAAAAAGCGGCATATCTTATTGCAATATTTTAAAATACGTGCTGGTAATTTACATTTTAAAATATCATGACTAATAAGATTAACAAAATGAACAATACAACGAAGATTGATAATAGAAGGATATTTTTGATTAATCTGCCTACGTGCAGCAGCAATAGCCGAGGCATTATCAGAAATTACTCCAATAAATTTTTCGGGCCCAATCTTAATTAAAATTTTTTCAATCTCATTAAAGAGTAAATCCGCCGTATGACTAACATGAGACAAATCACGAAGGGCATATAAAAATTCCTTATGATCAGGGGTCATTATTAAAAAATTATAAATTGAAGCACCCTGAGGATTCGTCCAACCATCTAATCCTAAATAAAATAATATAAATTTAATACAATTATATAATTATATAAGTTAAAGTATTGTATAAGTATATTAAAGCTAATTACCAAGTGTCAAGTTATCTGCAGTTTTTAAGTATTTCTCAGTCTCCCAATTAATTTTAATCACTTCTTCATTTAATAATGTATTAGAAAGATATTCACGAGTAGGTGGTACATACGAAGATCGTAAAGATTTAAGTATGTCGATAAACCATGGATTCTCAATTATGGAAAACGGAAGTCCACACATAGCAAAG